CCTTTCTTTGCAGTGTGGTTGTGTGGGGGTTGTGTTTTTTTTTTTTTTTTTTTTTTTTTAAAACCGCTGCCATTTTCATATCTTAACAGGTAAGTGTTTTTACAAAGTCAAACAGCCGTTTAAACGAATGGGATGAATCCCTGAACCGAGTGGGGAGTCAATTTCAAAAGTTACTGTAAGTATGTTGTGTTGCCACTGGCTGCTTTAAGCACTACAGTGCATCATGTCCTCATGGACCTGGAGATTTGTTAGTTCTCGCTGTGAGATATTAGGGCCTTTCGCACCGTGGGAACTTTTTCATAGTACCAGAACTAATTGTGGAACTACCCACTTTTGGGCGTTTTAGCACCACTGGAACTGGGTGTGGTTTTAGTACCGGACTGCCTTTTTCGAGAACCAAATTAACTCCTACTCCGGAGCAGGGTCTAACTGGTACTAATCGTGACGCAAGTAGACATTGATTGGCCAAATGTGTATGAAAATGTCCTCACCCACCATGATTTAAAACACTGTGTAAACATTTGTCAACTTATTTCGCAAGTATGGAGAACAGCGATAGATGGACGGACGCTGAAGTGCAGGCAAATGTAGCACTGCCAGTTGATGTTGGAGATTCTAGTCCTCCTTTCCGTTCTTTCAATCGCTTTACGTATATGGCGACTTTCCATGTCCATTATTGTGAGACAACAAAAACAACTCCGATCACAGTGTCCTCCATCCTTCTGTTGTTAATGTTTTCGTTGTTGAAAGCCGCACACAAATGACGTCGCTGTCGACTGGCTTACATCACTTCTTAGTACACACTGTCGGTGCGACTGCAACCCTTTAAATAGTACTGGGAAATGGTTCGTGCAAAATCGTCCCAGTACTTTTAGTACTGTACATTTAGTTCTGGAACTAAAGCGGTGCGAAAGGCCCTGTTTTTCTCAAACATGTCTGGGGGGGTTCATGGTTTGCCAGTGCAAGAATGATCAGCTGTCCTTGTCTCCCTGTAGCACTGTCTTATAGGCCTCTTATGGTGCTTTTCCACTGTACCGCTCGGTACGGTTCACTTTTTGGGGGTTTTCCACTGGGTACAGTACCTGGTACTTTTTTTTTTTTTTTTTTTTTTTTTTTTTTTTTTTTTTTTTTTTTTTTTTTTTTTTTTTTTTTTTTTAGGATCCAACGCAACTTGTTTGTACGAACGCCCCCTTTTTTTTTTTTTTTTTTTTACAACCAAAAAGTGGCTGTTCCCCCTGTTGCGGAAGAACAGACGTTCCTCTCGTTGATAGCAGAGGAGCGCTTGATGGGGCGATGCGGAATGAAAACGTTTTTTAGGAGTCGTGGCAGTAGAGGCGGCGCAACTATAATGACGTGAATAATCCTGCCCATTCTAAAGCGATACTAAACTGCAGTGGAAACGCAAACCGAACCGTGCCGTACTGAGCCGAGTCGTACCACGCAGTGGAAAAGCGCCATTACAGTGCATTATGGACACTGCAGTTTATTGTTCTGGCCACATAAGCAGTCCTCATGTTTCTTTGGAGCAGGACTATGGCATGTTAAACCAGATGATTAGGGACCCTGGACATCTATCTTCTGTGATCTATCTTTTTATGGGAATCAGTAGAAAGGTCTCTTTACTGTGTTTATTATAATCTACTCCCTGTAAACCGTGAGTGTCTCCAAATTGTTCCACGCGCATGTGCAATAATGATTTAGTTAATTGAAAAAAAATATTGTTTAAGTCCTTTTCAATAAAGATCTGTGAAGCCCAAGTGTGGACAGTGCTTGAGACTCAATGTAGGCTTTATTTGACTGTAATCGGGTTCCTCTCCTTGCTCTTCTTCTCTACACGTTGCCCTTGGGATGAAGTTTTTGTACTTTTTGTAATGGCCACATAAAACATTTCTAAATGAACTTTTATTCAGAAATCCATTGATTATAGAGGTGTATTCAAGTCATTGTGTTGATAAATTAAAAGTTATACAAAAAATATATATATATTGGCGCTTTTCCACTGCATGGTACAGCTCGGCTCAGTTTGCGTTTCCACTGCAGTTTAGTACGGCTTTAGAGTGGGTGGGATTATAGACATGTCAGTGTTACCAATTTAGCAATTTTGTTGCTAAATTTAGCAACTTTTCACACTACCCTAGCAAATTTTTCTTCCAAAAGCACCTAGCAACAAATTTAGCCTTTTTTTTTTTTTTTTGGCAACTTTTAGCAGCTTTTGATAAGTGACTCTAAAGATAAAAAGGCACACATTTTCCATCTAAATTACACAAAATGAGGAAACCAAAGATGCCTAGCTGTACACACATTGCATGAATTAAGTGTGCTGCTATTAGCAATTGCTCAATTTAATATTTATAATTTAATAATTGTTAATTTATGATGCACCTTGTTAGTAGCTTGTACCTGCGATTGTTGATCAGTTAGTACACTGTAAGAAAAATATCTAGAAAACTGGAAAAGATACTAATAATTTTCCAGGACATTATCCGTTATCCATTATTCATTAGCCATTGTAACCCGAAAACACAAAATACAATGCGGAATTTAAAATGCAGGTAAAAAACCTGTGAAAAATCAATACAGAAAATTCCTTCATATAATAGATTGTGACCCATTTTTACAGATATTTTACAGAGTGTAGCATACTAACTAACTGCTAATACATTGCTTAAAACTATAATTGTTCAGAATGTGTAGTTTTACTAGTTTACTAGCTGGTAAAAACAAACTTAAATTGTAGTCCCTAATTGTTCAAAAATGTGTAAGTGTTCAATAATTCAATGTTGTATTTAAAAATACAGTTATTTATATTTTAATATATTACATTATTTTACAAACAAATCTAAATTAACATAGGGCCTATATAAAATATTTTTTGCTGAGATTTTAAGTAGTGACAATTGTCATCGTGCAATGACATCACAATGTCATTTAGCAAATTTTAGCAACAAATTGGCCTTCCTTTAGCAACTTCCCCTAAAAATTAGTTGGCAACACTGCATGTCGTTATAGTTGCGCCGCCTCTACTGACATGACCTCCTGAAAAACTTTTTGATTCTACGTCGTCCCATGAAGCTCTCGCTGGATCGCTCCTTGCCAGTCAACGAGAGGAACGTCTGTACTTCCACAACAGACCACGAAACAGATATTATTTTGTTGTTTAAAAAAAGTATGCTCGTTCGAAACTGTTGCGTTCGTTTAAAAAAAGGTTTCGTTCGATCCTCACTGGCTGTACTGATTTAATCTAGTGGGTCTAGTCGTGTCTCGTGTCGCAAGTTCAATGACGCAGGTAGTGGCGATTATCTCTGGCAAATCAGTGATCAGCAGGGTTTACACGTCACATTGTGGTAATGGTACGGCTCACTTGGAACCTCAGCCGAGGTGGTACTGAAAAAAGTACCAGGTAGCCTACTTT